CTAGGGGCTTATTTGTCATATTTTTTACCTTTTGCTTCCGTATTAGTTCTCATTGAGTTCCACGACCTCATGGAATGTCACTTTGACTTCTTAGAGTCTTGTTTTCTGTTTTCCCTTCCGCATATCGGATCCGTTATCGGGTCAATCTTCGGTTCATCACAGGACACGTTGGCCTAAAAACCAGGGTCGTCACAGGAATTGAGCTAACTTTCCAATGCCTATGTATTGTGCACGAACGATTGTGATGTGCCATATACATAGTGCATCCGGCACAACGAATATTTACTCGTCGGAACATGGTCTCAATTTCTTCCACATCATATTGTACGAGAATATATTTAGTGTGCTCGGTGCATCATTAGAACCGTCCATTCCACGCGTGCAATACACGGAAGATTTTGATATGTCCGGTGTACGGTGCACCAAGCACATCGAATACATTCTCCTATTGTAGTAATTGAGTAATTGAAACTTATTAATAGTAACTTATTGCCTCGTATTAGTTATGGTTGGGTACTGGTGTTAACAAACTTATGGAAATAACTTAGAAAAATGATAATTGTGTGCAAAGAATGTAAATTGGGAATTAAATACTCCTTCACTTCCTTTTCGTCATTCAACTATTATCATAGTAATATAATAACTACCTACCTTATTAGGTCGAACTCAAGAAAAAACTAGGTTAAAATAATGATCTTGAAACAAAACTTGCCCAGCAAAATAGTTTATACCTCTTTCATGCTTGAATATCATTTGTCATGACGACGATAAGGAGCAATTGTATACGATGGCTCTCATAATATAGTCTTAACCTATCATTGATCCAGCTTATCTTTTCATTGATATAGTCCATCCTTTATCACCAAATATGAATCATTTATGATAACACAATTTTTTGTAGTTTATATTTTTCCATAATAGGAACATCACCTATGTATAAATTACTTGTGTAGTCAAGTGGACAAAACCAATTCTAATATCGTATTGAACAATACATAACATTAATTCACCAATCATATACTCCCTCTGTCATATTAAATGTCCACTTCAGAAACTGTCACTCACAATTTTGTGAGTTATAGTTCCCAAAATAGACATCTAATATGGGACGGAGGGAGTATAAGCAATTATTAAATTTGAAGAGGGAGAGAGAGAGAGAGAGATCACATCCATTTAATAGTACAAACACACCATTCTGAAACTAAATTCAACTATGAAGAGGCCACACAGGCGAAGCTAGGAATTCTGGTTTTGGGGAACCAAAAATTGGAAAATTTTAAAATCAATTATATTACTATAATTGATTTTTGTATATACAATATTAGTGTTAGGGCCTATACATATAATTATATACGGAGGAAAATTTAATCCAGAATAGTAGAAAATAAAATCTAAATAAATAGAGATGTAAATACAAAGACAATTGGTTTAGAAAAATATTATTAAAAATTAATTTTCCTCAAGTAATTGTTTCAAATTTTGAGAAAAAAATGAGTATTTTAATTCCACTTCAAGGTATATCATTATCATCATGATGAAAGATTAGTAGTAAAAAAAAAAATTTAATTAATTAATTTAACAAAATCTCGCAAGCTTTAATAGAAAGCGATTATTAGAAGCAGAATAAATTATAAGTACTTTAATAACTTATACAAATAATAGCTATACAAGTTGTCTTTTTAACAAATGACACCTAAAAATGTTTTTATTGGCATTTTTGTTAATTTTAGATATTTAATTTTTTAACAAGAATGGTTCATGTATCTTTGTTGAATATCATATACAATCAATATTATAAATGTGTGTGTGTGTCTATATATATATATATATGTTCAAATGTAAATATATATAATAATTACATGTTTGCATTAAATTACTATGAATTTCGAAAACATATGAGCTATACTTATTTCCAAACTTATTATAGTTGAGGCCAACAAACAAATTTTTTTGAAAAAAAATTTGGGGGGAACAATTTGTAAGGGCTATTAACAAAATTTTAAAAAATCTTGGGGGCCAATTGAAATTTTTTATAAACTCTGGGACCAATATATGGGATTTATTAACAAAATAATAATTTGTAAGGGTTATTAACAAAAATTCTGTTTTTTTGTTTTGTTTTGTTTTGTTTGTTTGTTTTTTTTTTTTTTTTTTGTTTGTTTGTTTTTTTTTTTTTTTTTTTTGTTTTTGTTTTTGTTGGGGTCATCTCCCTCGTGCCCGGGGCTGAGAGATCGCAACGATTTAGGATGAAGTGCTTGATGAATAGAACGCAAACACACTGAGCTGAAGTGAATTGAAGAATCTTGGGAATATATATACATAAATATATATATATATATATATATATATATAGGTCATTGGCGACCCAAACAAGGCACAAGGGGTTAAAGTCCAAACGATATTTGAGGGAAAAAAAACAACAAAGAATCAAGGCATGTATGGTGTCGTTTAAATTTTTCCAACACCCCTTGGCAGCTGAAAAAACCAATTTGAGCTAAAAATTATGGTTTTTGCCCCCTTGTGATGGATTTAAAAAAAAAAAAAAGGGCGAAAATAGGGTAAAAAAAGGGAGGTGATTTTTTGTGAGTGATGTATTTCCGATCCCCATTAGTGGTTGTCGGAATTGGGCCTACTTTCCAACTCTCACGTATTGTGCATGGATGGTTGTGATGTGCCCAATGCATAGTGCACCGGGCATCACGAATATTTACTTATCAGAACGGAGTCTCAATTTCTTCTACATTATGTTGTAGGAGAATATATTCAGTGTACCCGGTGCATCATCAGAACTATTCATTCTCGCGTGTGCATTGCACGGACGATTATGATGTGCCCGGTGCCCTGCACCGAGCACACCGAATATCTTCTCTTGTTGTCGTGATTGAAACTTATTAATAATAACTTATTGCTTCATATTAGTTATGGTTGGGTACTACTATTAACAAACTTATGGAAATAACTTGGAAAAATGGTAATATATTGCGCGCAAAGAATGAAAATTGGGAATTAAATACTCCTTCATTTCCTTTTCGTCATTGAACTATTATCATAGCAATATAATTACTACCTTCCTTATTTGGTCGAAATCAAGAAAAACTATGTTAAAATAATGAACTTGAAACAAAATAATTGTCCAACAAAACAGTTGTCCAAAATTAAGATCCTTCTTGGTGGTGGTGTTATTTTCGTAAAAGTATTTTAAAGCAAAACACATTGTGTTGCATTGTTGTCAAGAAAAACACAAAGCATGTATGATGATGTAAAAAATGTTGCACTGAAAAACAAAATAGAAGGAAGCAAAACACCTTTGACAAATAAAATTTATCTTTCAATGCTGAGTTAAACGGTGGCATGCTTACAAAAATTCTTGTTTTTCTACGTCTTCTTCTTTGAAATTAAATGATACAATATGTCTTGTAGTGTTGAGAGGGATGCAAGTCTCCATGCACTGTTGAGAGGGATGCAAGTCTCCATTAAAATGGACCCCCCCTAGATATTTTACTCCTAGAATAAATTTAGTCCACATAAAAGGATTATTGATCAATATATGACATAAACATTTCATGTTATCTGCATATAACTCTTTTTCTTTTCTTTTCTTTTCTTTTCTTTTTTTTTTTTTTTTTCTCTCTCTCTCTCTAAATATGCAATTATTATGAATAGAATAATTCACAATATGTTGGAAGGAAAAAAAAAATAAGAAAAAAAAATCATTCGTCAAGGTCTTTCCAAAATGACTATTTGATTGAAATCTAAGAAATACGAATATTTCTAAAGGAGCAATATACCCCTATTGAATATCGATACTCCACGAATACTCGCGGATACATGTCAGATACTTCTTAAATGTATTCATAATTTTAAAATATATATTTTAATTTATAACACATATCCGATATTTCTTAAGTATTTCGACTGTCTATCCGATACTTTTCGGACACTTTATAACACATTTTTAATAAGTTTGAACATTAAAATGCAACTTTTTTAACTATAATATATAATATAGTATAGTTGCTAAGAAAAATTCAAATTTTATTAAGTTAACTGGGGATGCTTGCTTTATTTGTTGTGAAAACGAATTTCTACATTATATTATTGACTGCATTTAGATTTATAATATTTTAAAAAAACTGACCAAAAATTTATTTATATATATATATGATAATAAAAAATTAATAAATATTACTTATATATATATAAGTAATATTTATTAATTTTTTATTATCATATCCTGTTATACTCATATCCTGATTTTTTTTTTTTTAATTTGTCGTATCACTATAACAGTATAGTGTCATATTATCCGTGCTTGCTAGATAGAAACTTAGGTCCTATTATGATTGGTTAGAGCACTTAAAGCATCTCCAATGCAAAAATACTATATTTCCATGTCAAATCTATATTTGGAGAGGAGATATAGCGTCAAAATGCTATATTTTTGTAATTATGCTCAAATTGTGCATTTCATACAAAATAATATTTTTTAATATAACCACCATTTTATGTTTTGACAGCTCATTAGAGTACTTTATTTTCATTTTAACAACTTTTGACAATCTCAAAATATGAGAGTTCTTTTGAAAGCCTATTGAAGTGCATTATTTTCATCTACTTGCTATATTTTGTATTTGAGAATTACTATATTTAGCAATATTTTTTAGAATCTCAAAATATAAGAAGTTTTTTAAAAAGTCATTGAAATGCCTTATTTTCATTAAGTTGTTATATTTTGGGTTTGAGAGGCCATTTAAAATGCTCGACTTAAAAATGTTAGGCAGCTGACTACACGTCACATAATTCCTTAAATTATGGCAGATTGAGAGGTGGCTTTGAAACAAATGGACACGGAACTTGAACGTATCATTTGTTTGTCACTAACTAGCAAACTTGATTGCATTCACTCTGTACTTGACCGGTTTTGATTGATTTCGACCCCCTATCGTACTTGACCCGTTATCATTGCCAATGGCCTCTTCCTTAATTTCTCAGATCCTAGCCTCTATAAAAGGAATGAAGAGAATGCAATATTATACATCTTGCATTCAAAGAAAATAGCAAAATTGGTTATAATTAGTTCAACTCTTCTCAATGGCTATTTTATATAAAGCAGTACTACTTGGGCTATTGTTGCCTATCATACACAATGCAGGTCTCTCTCTCTCTCTCTCTCTCTCTCTCTCCACCCATCCAAACGTACATGCACCCATTAATATCACAAACCAAAAGCTTTCCGTAGAAGTGATTTTTGTCGTGTACACATACTATTTTTTTCAACTTTTTTTTCCTTGACAGGAAAATATACTTTTTATTTACACTCGGGCTCCATCCTCTTTGAAAATGGAGAGAACATTATTAGTATTTACTTGTCATTATTACCTTTGATATTTCTCGAGGTTTAATATAGGACTAAAATTCTCTCCAATGGTAAATAATAATTTTTCTTGCAAAGAGAGAGTCCCTCTTTCAATTCTCTATACTAGGAATCTATTATTATTATTATTGTTTCGAAAATTTAAGCAAACGTACACTAACAATATTGCTTAGCACGGTTTAAACACTCAACCTAATATATAAATGTCTTTTGGTAATTTAAAAAACTATATTGCCTAGTTTCAATTTTAAATTTTTGGGAACAAATTTGGCTCTCTTGAATTTTTATTACTCGTAATCAAGAATTTTAAACACCATTTTGTGTTACAGCTCTTTATCCCTAGTGGTGGTTTATTAGTAAACCCTAATTTAGGATACGGAGCCTTGTGATGTAGGCCACGTTACATGACATAATGTCAACACACATGCAGGTGCACAATCCATAGGTGTTTGAAATGAGATAGAATATACGGAGTATATGGTCTTGGTTGTGCCAAATATTTTTTCTTTTCTAGCTTATACAATGTTGGTCACAATTTGCTTTCTCCAATTAACACACTCCACACACATGCAGGTGCACAATCCATAGGCGTTTGCAATGGACGACTTGGCAACAATTTGCCATCGGAGCAGGAAACCGTAGACTTATACAAATCCAGTGGCATTGGAAGGATGCGAATCTACGATCCGAACCAAGCAACACTTCAGGCCCTCAGAGGATCCAACATAGAACTCATCCTCGATGTCCCCAACTCAGACCTTCAAGCGCTTGCATCCGACGCTTCAACATGGGTCCAAACGAATGTAAAAGCTTACTCACCCGATGTCAAGTTCCGATACATTTCTGTAGGAAATGAAGTAGATCCCAACAATGGTAATGCTCCGTATGTCCAGTTTGTTCTTCCCGCCATGAAAAACATCCACAGCGCGATTGTAGCAGCCGGACTACAAGACCAAATCAAGGTTTTGTTTGCTTTGCTCTGTTATACCACTTTATAAGTATGTGAACTAAATACACACATTTCAATATTTATTTTTGAACACACACATTTCAATATTTATTTTTGAAAGAGATCAAATGGGCAATAACCAACCGTCCGAGCTGATGCAAACCCAGCTTTCCATTTAATTCTTGGTTTTATATATCACTACCATAGTAATAAATATACTACTTCCGTCCCATATTAAAAAGTCCATTTCGAAAACTTTGTGAGTCACGGTTTCAAAAGTGGACCTTTAATATGGGACGAAATGAGTAATACACATGTATGGTGTATGCCAAAAACTTTGAAAAGACTAGATACGTACTAAAATCAAGTTTATTTTTCAATAGGTTTCAACAGCAACATACTCCGGACTTTTGGCCACTTCGTACCCTCCATCAAATGGCGCATTCGGAGACAGCGCAAGGTCGTTCATGGAGCCAATCATCAGCTTCCTTGCTAGCAATAATGCCCCATTACTTGCCAACATATACCCTTACTTTGCCTATGCCGGTGACACCCAAAACATCCAGCTTCCTTATGCCTTATTTACTTCACCAGGAGTAGTTGTAACCGACGGTTCGTTACAATACAGAAACCTTTTCGATGCATTGTTAGATGCCATGTACTCTGCCGTTGAGAAGGTAGGTGGACAGAATCTTGAGATTGTGGTGTCAGAGAGTGGCTGGCCGTCCGAGGCTGGAACTGGAGCAAGTGTGGACAATGCAAGCACTTACTACAAAAACCTGATTAGTCATGTCAAGGGTGGGACTCCAAAGAAGCCAGGGAGCGCTATACAAACTTATTTGTTCGGCATGTTTGACGAGAACCAAAAGGGTGGGGACGAGACGGAGAAACATTTTGGCCTGTTCAGTCCTAACAAGCAGCCTAAGTACCAAATTACTTTCGGTTAAAATGGAGAGCTAAATTAAATATATACATATGTATCATGAATAAGAATGTCTTGTGCTTATACAGCTTGAACATCTTTACATGGAAAGAGAATCTCTTGGGCATTAAGGCATGCCTCTAATCTCTGTTCTATTTCTATCTTATCAATTAGTTTTTGTGCTTTTGTTTGTTTATTTAAGGAAGCTATGCAAATATCAGATTTGTATGGAGGAGCAAACATTAATAAAAGAGCCATTTTAATTTTACATATGCTGTCTTTATCCTTCCTGATATTTTACTTCAAATATTCAAAAACAGTCAACGATGAATTGGAAATAATGGCAACAAAACAGGTAATTCTATCCGTAATTCTTAATCAGTTGTTTTCAAAGGTGAAAATTATTAATTTTGGAGTGTTAAAACAAGAACATTATTTATCTCTCATGATTTGTGGGAATTAGTTGAGAATGATTATACTAAATATTATAATATTAATGGTTGCATAGGAAACAAAAAAGAATCGTCAGCTTTGAAAAGTCAACGCATAAAAGTAACACACTAAAAAAAATGACAGATTCAAGAAAAAAATAATAATAGTGGTGCAAATGTTGCGTATATCTTTTATTGGGGGTTGTGCCCCTATTTATACAAATATATTCAGATCGCCTTGCTTGTCCTCCAAGTTCATTCCTTATGGATTTGTTCCATATGAGGTTTTTTTTTCTATATAGGGTTGTTTCTTCATTTAGATCCTTCCATGTGAGGCTCCTTCGATGCCGTGATTGATTTGATCCGAATCATGGATAATGTTTGTCCAGGCTGTATGTTTGAGTGAGAACAGATTAAGCCGATCTTGTGATGGGCTGATAATGACCCTTTTGGGTTTTATCAAACTGGGTCTTGGAAGTCTAGTGGCCCAAAAGAAATGCGTCATGACTTATTCGTTGACGTGGCTGGTTCTTATTGGTAGGAGAGATTTTTGCCTCCACACTTTGTCCCCAATTCCCTTTAGTTTGATGTGGCAGTCATAACTAGAGGGAATTAATCATAGCTAATGATTCTGGGGATATTTCTGTTAACTTTCTCTCTTCAGAATTCTCCTATGCCTTGGAGGATTTTTAAAAAATTAACCTTCGGCTCTTGTGAGTCCGAGCTAATTTTTATGTAATTTTGGTTCTTGGCACTCTTCTGTGCCTTAGAGAACTTTTTATGAAAATTTAACCTTCGACTTCTTTGAGTTCGAGGTATTTTTCATGTAATTTTGTTCCTCGGCACTCTTCTATGCCTTGGAGAATCTTTTATGGAAATTTAACCTTCGGCTTTCTTGAATCCGAGGTAATTTTCAGATAATTTTATTCCTTGGCACTTTTTTCTGTTTTGAGGATTTTTATGAAAATTTAACCTTCGGCTTCTTTGAGTCCGAGGGAATTTTTATATAATTTTATTCCTCGACACTTTTTTGTGTCTTAAGGATTTTTTATGAAAAATTAACCTTCGGCTTCTTTGAGTCCGAGGTAATTTTCATATAATTTTATTCTTTGGCACTCCTTTGTGCTTTGAGGATTTTTATGAAAATTTAACTTTCGGCTTCTTTGAGTCCGAGGTAATTTTCATATAATCTTATTCCTCGGTACTTTTTTGTGTTTTAGATGATTTTACATGAAAATTTAACTTTCGACTTATTTGAGTTTGAAGTGATTTTCATGTAAATTTATTCCTAGACAATCTTTTGTGCCGTAGAGGATTTTACATGAAAATTTAACATTTGACTCCTTTGAGTTCAAGGTGATTATCATGTAATTTTATTCCTCGGCACTCTTTTGTACCTTAGAGAATTTTAAATGAAAATTTAAACTTTGACTCCTTTGAGTTCGAGGTGATTTTCATGTAATTTTATTCCTCGACACTTGTTTGTGCCTTAGAGGATTTTACATGAAAATCTAACCCTCGACTTCTTTGAGTCCGAGGTAATTTTCATATAATTTTATTCTTCGGCACTCCTTTGTGCCTTGAGGATTTTTATGAAAATTTAACCTTCGACTTTTTTGAGTTAGAGGTAATTTTCATATAATCTTATTCCTCGATACTTTTTTGCACCTTAGATGATTTTATATGAAAATTTAACCTTCGAGTTCTTTGAGTTTGAGATAATTTTCATGTGATTTTGTTCTTCGGCACTCTTTTGTGCCTTAGAGGGATTTTTGCTTTTTAATACCTTTGGACTCTTGAGGTCCGAGGCTACTTTTTGGTGTTCGGCTTGTCCCCACCTTTTTTTTTTTTTTTTTTTTTAATAGCATAACTGCGTAGTTGGACTATTTGTCACTTCATTTAAGGATCGGTCTTTCTTGCAATGCAAATAAACCAAACCCAAATATTATTAATGAATATATAAACATGGAGCAAATATAAAGCTATATGTAAACAAAATTATCATAAGCATGTAAAAGAATTACAGAAAAGAAATTTTTTTAAGAATTTTTTATATATCATAATTCAATATATAAATAGAAATTCAAAATGTTTTCACACTTGAATACATCACAATTGACATACATTAACCGCAAAGGGTCTGCATGAACAATTTTTGCCTTTAATAGCAATGCTATAATAGTGTTATCAGCAAAACAACTCCACATATTTCCAATAAAACAGGCATAGTTCTTTGTACTGCAATATTATTCAATGGCTCCATAGATGATTTGAAGATTTTCTTGTGAGATATATATATTTTGTAATTGGCAAATTTCGTTGTCAAAACAAATCCGATCGAGTTGTAATTTTTCAATTCAAAATTTCGAAGAAGATTAAAGATCGGATGTGGATTTGACAAAGTTCAAGTGCTCATGATTAGAAGTTTGAGAGGTAGTGAGAACATTTAGGAAGGGCATTGAAAGGTTTGGAACAAGTTTTTACATTCTGTCCATCTTGAACTGGTTCAAGATCTATCGAATAGGTTTAACATCATCAGAATTGAAACATTTCAAGACTGACCATCTTAAACCAGTTCAAGAGGGCTGAATCGGTTCAAGAATCCATGGGATTCCTTACTGTCCATCTTGAACTAGTTCAAAATGGCTGAACCGGTTCAAGAAGTCCTGGATGCATCAGGTTTTCAAGTTTCTTTCTTCTGATGTTTCCTTTTTGATCCCAACTTCCTTCCAAGTCCTATGCACGAAATTTATCATATTTTCTGAGAGATTAGGACTTTCAAAACTCTATATAAACCATGTCACATACATTGGTTTTTTCACGACTTTAGGGAAAATCAATTTTATATTTTGAGAAAGCCTTCAGAGAGAGAAAAATTTCAGAAAATCAAATCTGATTATTCTGAATTTATTTTTGAGAGCACACATATATATTCATGAGTGATTTAGTTGTGTTGTTCTCTATCTCATCAGAATTGGAGCTGTATTAAAAATTCAGAGATTCCGGATGATTAGCAGGATTTAATTCTTCTACAATCGAGTTCAGATCTTGAAGAACAGAAGTAAACGCAATCACACTTTGAAAGGGTTGGAGCATTCGTGGAGTGCTGTCTGATCTACCTGTTACTCTTCTACAAATATCAAGTGTAAGTCTGAGGTCAAGTTGTTGTTGGACGGGGAGTTGCAAAGCCAGAGGATCGTCAGCGATTGGTGTGGTGTAGAACGATAGGGTGTGAGCCAGAGTCAAAGTTTAGTATACTTTGTTTCAAATATAGTGGATTGGTTTACTTTAGACTGCACAGTCCATGAAGTTTTTCCCATAACAGTTGACGTATTTTATCAACTGGAGTTTCCTTGCTAAAATTTTGGTGCAATCTCTGTAACTCTAACTTGCTTTACTTTTCATATATTTGTGATTGTGGATGTTTAAATTGGTCATATAATTTAATTAATCATAAATTGAGCAAGTTGACCTAATAATCAGATCTAGGTCATTAAAGGAGTTAATCACAATAAAAATCAACTAACTGTTTCCGCACCCTGCGTAACTCTTATTTCACAATTTGGTATCAGAGTGGGTTACTCGATATATAGAGTAGATCATAGTTGTTGATTAATTGTTGATATTTGCATCATATCTAAAAATTCATCTGTTGATGTGTTGCCTTTAACTCCTATTTTTGATTTTGTCACAAGCATTCAAATTGAATGGGCCAAGTTTAAAAAGGATTTTGAAATTTTGTTAGAGAAATTGAATCTTGCGAAACTTGATAGAGATATTTATAAGTTAAAAGTTTTTATCTCTAATAAGAATTTGGAAGAAATTGGCCATAAAAATTAGAATCTTCTTCATACGATTGATTTACTGGAAATAGAACTTAAAAAGGTAAATTTGTTTAATAAATCACTGAAACTTAAAATTGATAATTTGAGTAGTGAATTTGTTAAATCAAAACAGTTTTTTCAGAAAATTGATATTAACACTTGCAAAATTGATAAGTTGAAAGAAATAGTTGAGAATACTTGTAGTAACAAAGAATTGGCAACTTCCAAGGATTTGTATTTTCAAAATTCAAAAGATATTTTTGTGAAAGTTGATACCAAGCCTTCTGTTATTTCTACTACTTCTAAACTTGTTTCAACATGTCATTTTTGTGGTGAAAAAGGACATATCAAGTATAAGTGTCAGAAAAGAAAAATTGAACTAGGAAAGAAAGTAAAAAATATGGAGAGTTCAAATTTAAAGAAGAAGAGGATTAGGACTGTTGAGCCTTGTGACACTTTGCCTAGAATAATAGGGAAATCATTGTATAAAGAATCTAAAATTGTTTGGGTAAAGAAAGAGAATTTTAAATGCCTTGCCATGCATACAACACTTAGAGCACTTGGTCCATGCGGTTGGTACTTTGATAGTGGTTGCTCTAGGCATATGACAGGGGATAGAACATTGTTTACCACTTTTAAGGAATGTTCAGTTGGTACTGTTACTTTTGGTGATGGTAAAGTTTCTACTGTAAGTGGTAAAGGTAAGATCAAATTTTCAGGAATTGGGGAGTTAAAAAATGTTCTATATGTTAAAGGTTTAGCTGCTAATCTATTGGGTATTAGTCAACTATGTGATGAGGAGTTTCAAGTCAATTTTACTCAACAAGGGTATTTTGTAACTAATGAAAAAGGTGAATGCATCTTGAAAGGAATTAGAACTTCTGATAATTGTTATGTTGTGTTTTCAGATCCTTCACTTATGTGTTTTTCAGCAATTACTGATGAGACTGTTTTATGGTATAAAAGACTTGGACATGTTAATTTTAATGATCTAGTAAATTTGTCTAACAATG